AAGACAAAGCCAGAGTCATACTAATAGTTATGACTTGACCCAGACAAACGTGATTTCCTTACCTGATACAGCTGGCTGTTTGGTCACTGATCACTCTTCATGCTGCTCCGCATTTCCTCTCCCAGGAAGGTGGGATCATCCTTCACCCCAATCTCACAGTGCTGCTTCTCAAAACATGATTGGTAGATGATTCACAGGATTAGAGACTTACCTGCTCAGAGGAAGTAAAAAGAGTACTACTACAAAGCAGGAAACAGTCTACTTGCTACACAGACTCTTAAAAATGGACAAGATTTTGTTACCCATTCTTGGAACCAGGCAAGAAATAAACACAGACAAAGGTCAAACTCGAGCAGCACTGAGGGTTGATTTGTTTCCCTTATTTGCGCAATTATACTCAGACACAAACACAACTCATTCGTGTTGGCAGGCTGCAAGTGAGGGTGTTGGTTTTGAATTTGCTGGTGGCTGAGGCTGGCCAGGTGTCAGCTGCCCGGAGATAGGCTGCGAGGCGACAAGAGTCCCCGAAGTCCCTTCGGATCTGCAGGAGGGCTTCCATTCCATTCCCGAGTTTAGCGTGCTGTTACATTTCCTTATCGGTACCCTACCTAGCAAAGGGGGGGGGGGCGGCCGCCGCCAGCTACAGATTTGTTTGTTGCTGTGTCCTCATTGCTGTAAAATATACTAGACTACATCCTGACTCAAAAGTTCAGGACTATTGATGAGCTCCATAAGAGTCTACCTGGCAGCTATCATGGCTTTTCACCCTCCCACCCCTCCCAATAGAGGGTTGTTCTGTTTTTGCTGATCCAACATCAGCGAGATTCCTCAGGGGACTTGGAAACATCTATCCACCAGTCCAGCTCCTGATTGGGACCTCATTCTGGTCTGTAAATGCCTCAGAAGTCTACTGTTTTGAGTTGATGTCTACCTGCTCACTGCTCTGTTCATCAGTGAAGAAGGCATTCCTGATATCCATCGCATTGACATGACAGGTTGGGAAAATAGGAGCCCTGATGGCATGCCCCCTTTTCACAGTATTTTTTTTTTTTTAAGGACAAGATCACACTGCAACCCCATCCCAAATTGTTACCTAAAGTTTCTTCTGAATTTCATATTAACCAACCCATTCACCTGCCAGTCTTCCAACCCAAACTGCATCTAGATAACCAGGAGGCACTCCTGCACACCCTGGACATCAGGAGAGCCCTGTCCTTCTGTGTGGATAGGACAAAACCTTTCAGAAAGACCCACAGATAATTTTCCTTGCAAGCAGATAAGTCAAAAGGGTCTGCAATCTCTAATCAAAAACTTTCCAAGTGGATATCTGGCTCCACTAATTCTAGCTATGAATGTTACGATATTCAAACACCTTTGAATATACATACTCATTCTACAAGGTCCATTTCCATCTCTGTGGCATTCATCAAGAATATTCCCATATTGAGATATGTTAAGCTACTACTTGGGTGTCTATACATACGTTTGCTGAACACTATGCTATAACTTGTGACACTGCTGATACTGTGTTTGGCTAGGCTGTAGTTTCTTTGCTACTGGACTCGACTCCGAAGTTGCCCCTGCCTTAAAGGGAATTGCTTGGTAGTCACTAGAGTGGAGCACGCGTAAGGATACTACTCAAAGAAATGGTTACTCACCCTGTGCAGTAACTGTGGTTCTTCAAGATGTGGGTCCCTATCGGTGCTCCACTACCCACCCTCCTTCCCCTCTGCATTGGAGTTCTCTGCTATGGAGCTTTGCGATAGAGAAGGATCTGAGGTCGGTTGGCCCGTGCAGTGCTGTGTAACAACGGCATGAGGCTGACTACCATGCATGTGCAGGCCTAACAAACTCTTCTATGAGAAATCTCCGATCAAAGGCGCAGGGGGCGCTAGCACACCTAGAGTGGAGCACCCATAGAGAGAGACATCTCAAAGAACTACTGTTGCTGCACAGGATAAGTAACCATTTCTTCCCTGTACTTTCCTTGTGTAAGTAAGAAAAAAGACAGGCTGGAGGCATTATATATTTAAGCCATCATCCTCTTTAAGATGGTATTAATTTCTCTTAGATTCCAAATTTATGGCAGGGATACCAAAGACACTGATCACTGCCTCCCTGCAACTTTTTCTGGTCTATTTTGCCTTTCCATTTTATCCTGTTTAATGCTGTTGTAGAGTCTTCCATAAAAACTCACCATAGTGACATAGTTTTCTGTCTGATTTCTCTTGGTGGTCGGACTGTTGAACTTGGCTGGCTTTATTTGTGTCTCAGCTAGAATAGCTGAACAAATGCAGAATACCATATTCATATAGGTGATGGAATTCTATATCCACTGAGAGATCCTTGAGAATTACATCTCTGGCTACTCTGTCCAGCAGCCAGATGCTTCTGTTATTTCATACAAATATAAATGAAACAACTTTTTTTTTAGCAGCCTAAATTCAAACTGCATTTGTCTATTTTTATATGTTTATGTCTAGGATATAATACAGCTCCCAATCTTTTCAAAGAGTTCTCTAGATTACTGTACTATACTAAAATGAAGAGAAGTTACCTGTATGGAGTTTGAAGAATAACCTGTATTGCACATTTTATTTTTCTTTACTTCAGAATTGCAAGTACAATATAAACAATTTCTAAAAATATTTTAATGTTCAGTATGAAAAGCGTTTAGAAAAAGAAACTGACTATAAGACTTTAAAAGAACTTTGGAATTTAAAAAGAAGGAATTTAAATAGCTAAAATGTTACACTCCTGATGTTTTTGTTCTATTAGCTTCAGAGAGAGATGAGCGATGTAGCTTGGAGGTTTTATCAGATGACAGGTCCATTAGAAACCTTAAACTCTGAAAACGTTTGATATTATAGTTCACTTCTCCATTTTGGTGATGTGGAATGAGCCACATGTCCCTAGGGCTTTCTTCCCTCTCAGAAATGTTCAAGTTGGAATCAGACATCTGATTGTTTTGATATGCCAACTATTTATGGAACAAAAAGTTGCTAAAATGTCTGCTAGACTTGAACAGTGCTGTTACATAAATCCTTTTTATTTTGTTTTAACATTTTAAAAAAGTGAAATGCATTATTAGCTGCATGTTTATTTTGTTCTTTAAATAGGAGAAAGAAACATGCCATTCATAGCAGTGATACAACCTCTTCAGACGAAGAACGCTTTGAAAGGAGAAAGTCTAAGAGCATGGCCAGAGCAAGGAACAGGTATCACAACTTGCTGAGTCTTTGTAAGGGCCAGTTTATATGGGCCTGGCAGGAAAAAGCAGAATTATGGTGTAATATTCTAGTTAGTGTGAAAAGTGATAGCTTTGATTCAGCAAACTATTTAGAAAAGTTACTTCTTACTTATGAAACTTCAATAAATTTAACTTACAACAGAAGAATATGGGGGGGGCTTGTTTTAGTTACTGAACAAATATTACAATATAATACTGAAGTCTTATGAGTAGATAGTTCTAAACAGTGCAGATTATAAAGTAAAGAAGAAAACCCAAATAAAGGTCTGTGTAAGACACTGTTAACCAAATTTTGTATCAATTAAAAATGGAGTTTCATTGAACGTGTAAAGAACCAGGGTTACTCTGGTGTTTTCTTTTTTTAATTAGTTTTGGAGGGAGTTAAATCAATAGCTCTTCCAAATACCACCTCTCTTCCTCCTCACCCCTTCCTATCACTGTAATACCATGTGCATCCCAAACATAAAAAAATGCTCTTACCTAGCTCCTGCTCAACAATTATCTAAGATGTAAAAGATACCATGGTGATAACTTAACAAAGAAATTAACAAATTCCTCTTTTTATCAGCTGGGACTGAATGGGTCCTGTTACTAGACTGGGGGGCTGTCTGGGGCACCAAGACCCTCTTCGTTGCTTATACTTATGTAGGATGTAGACAAGCGGTAACTGTTCTGAGAGTTGTCTTAAAGCCCCATCCCCCGGAGGTCTTTTCCAGCCGTGACACTGGGTGCCCACCAAACCTTTCTCGTGTCATATTCTTCAGATTTCTACTTGCATTTTAAATGGACACTCTCCACCCTTTCCAACAGATCTGTTCTTAGCCAGTCTGGCAGCTTCACCTACCAATACAATACTCTCCCTCCCCCATACTGCCACCTCACCCTCCACGCTCCTCTCCATCTTGCTTTCCCTCATTCATTCCCGCTTGTCCCCTCTATCCCTCTACCTTGAACTCCCTGTCTCCTCCCTTCCTTTCCTTCTAAGCACAGATCCAAACACAATTCTTGGATCTCTACAAGTAATACCAAGATAAACATCTAAATATTGATATAACTGTGCTGATGCTAGAGGGTTGTGCTACTTTAACTATATCAGTACAGAAACTATGAGTCAGCAAAGCTCTCTGTCTCCATCTCCTCTTCCTTCTGCTGGTCATCATCTTCTCACCACCGTGCCATTCCTTTGTCTCCCTCTTCCATCCTGAAGAACCTTGAAACCATTAAAAACAAACAAATGAACAAAACTTTTAAGAACCAGAGTGCTTTAATAAAAAAAAACAGTTGTGCAAAATCGGCTAAGAGCGCTTTGTAGTTTTAAGAATCATAATTTTAAATATGTTGGGTTAAGTTGAAGGGGACAGGAACAAACTTGTTTAGTTTAATGTTGATTTTGCTTGAGAGGGATAGCTGCACTAGTATCTTAATCTTTTAGTTCTGACAGTTACAGCCATCTTTACTTGTTTTATTGCTCATATTCAACATCAACCTAAATTGCTTGCTTTTGTCGAACAGATGTCTGCCTATGAATTTCAGAGCAGAAGACTTAGCCAGTGGAATCCTGCGAGAACGAGTAAAAGTTGGTGCAAGTTTGGCAGATGTTGATCCAATGATTCTTGACAAATCGGTAAAATTTGTTAAGACTTGTCTCTTTTATAATTATGCATTTGAGATAATGAAGATTAATCAGAAATCCTAATTGGCAGCTTTGTGAAAATCAGAGTTGAAGTGAATGCAAAACCAGTCTATCTGTTCACCCAGTGATGTCTATACACCAATTTTGGGCCAGAAAGCACTTGATTTTAGTCTGTGTGTGTAATTCTCTGGTGAAATGCATCATAAAGAAGCAAACAGGTCATATTCACAATATATATGTTGTCTTCTGGTTATCTCTAAAGATAATTGCATTTCTAAAAGTTAGTGGATTCTTATTTGAATTTTTATGTTTGAGAAAACTTTACTGTTCTAGTACATACATTTTTGCATACATGCTATGTTAAAAATAAAAAGTTGTTGCTTTACATGTTTTGTGTTTTCTTAGGTTCGTTTTGATAGCATAGGTGGATTGAGCCATCATATCCATGCATTAAAGGAAATGGTAGTGTTTCCTCTTCTCTATCCAGAAATCTTCGAAAAATTCAAAATACAGCCACCAAGGTAGGTGGATTTATTCTTTGTTGCTGTTTTTTTTATTTTTATTTTTTATTTCATTGCACCCCCTAAAAGTACTTAATAGGATGACATGTAGAAGGACTGGTCCTTTCTCTGAAGAGCACACAAGGTAAATAGATGGATAGACAAATGAGGATTATACTATACTATACACCAGTATTCTAGGCAAGAAGATGTGGATTGCAGGTGTATCTCTTTGTGGTTTAATTAGAGAAATATTTTTTTGCAGGCTGCTACAGAAGTGAGCTTTTTTTTTTCTTTCTTTCTTTTTTTTTTCTAATGAGGTGAGGTGAGGGTTGGAGGTTTGACATTCATTTTGGAAGCATGTTTCCAGTCATCATCATCAGCACGATGACATGGAGACAATTCTGGAAAAAGGAGACAAAAGGGTTATTGAACTGGTGTCATTGACAGAGCAGGGTTGAGGGGACACTAGCAGAGACCAGATGAGAAAATTAGTCAAGGCTGTGTGTGATATAGGGCCTTGAAACAAGGACAGTAAGTTTAATGCACAGTGGAATAGAATCTGTGATATGACTGATGGCCAGATAACAGTGTTGAAGCAATGGGCAAGAGATGATTTTGCCAGCAGGTTTTGAATGAACTTAAAAAAAACAAAACAAAAAAAAAACACTTGAGGCAGCCAAGTCTCTCAAACTTTTTTTTTTTTTTTCTTTTTTTCACTAATTTTGTGCTGGTTTAAAGCAAGTCCCAAAACAGACATCCTGCTATTGAAGGATTCAACTGGGTAGGGGAAACTAATGGGAGGAACCAGTTTGAGAACGTGAAAATTCTTTGAATGATTAATTGCCTCCTGCCTGAGAGTCTTAAGTGAAAGACACTGTTCTGACTTAACCAAGTTGCAGAATAAAAAAATTAGGAGGTAGTATAAACATGTTTTTCTGTGAATAGAACTTAATTGACAATGTTAAGTGTACAAAGCAGACTCGAATCTCTAGCTGTATTGTTCCTGTCATGCTGGCATTAGTCAAAACTTATTTGTAAAGAAGAAAGTGATCAGTTGAAGATATGAAAGGACCATACATGCTTTATAAGAAAGCTATTAAAAATATTGAGGTTCATGTAAAAACAAAAATTAAAGATCCTCCTCCCCCAATATGATTGTCAACCTTAAAATTCTGCATTCTTTTGTTTTTAGTGTATTAAACATTGGTGGGTTTATTTAAAGTCAAATTGAATGTCAGTGTTTCTTTTATGGAAGCATCTGAGGAGCTTAAAAAGATATGTGGAATTTTTGTAATTTGGGAATTTGATTAAAGTCTTTTTTAATTTTAAGAAACTAGCATTAGAATCTACTTCTGTGTAAGCAAATATCAGAGAACATTTGCAGCAAATATCAGAGAACATTTGCAGGTTTAACATTTGAAGTATTTACCTGATATAAAATAACCCTTGAGATTCTTAATATCCACCAGATTACTGTGTGCTTTGCAAAGCAAATATGTAATAATTTGAAAGCATGAAACAAAACTTGCACTTTTCATGTTATGAAACATATGCGGAAACAAAATTGAATTCTGATGTAGCACAAAATTTTAAATGAGGAAGAAAAAACTAATAATATTACAAAATACAAGACTCGGCTTAATAGTTTTTCATTTCTTTTAGTTTGTGGCATCTTAGATTTTGTAAGATTAACTTAAATGTGCCAAGTAATGATGAAAAGATTAGTCTTTTTTTCTTCTCTGGGCTCCCTATCTTGAAGAAGTTTTTCAAGAGACAAAAAATAAATTTGTGACTATAATATTGATCCATTTATCTTCAGGGGCTGTTTGTTCTATGGTCCTCCTGGAACAGGTAAAACCTTGGTAGCTAGAGCTCTAGCTAATGAATGCAGTCAAGGAGACAAAAAGGTGGCTTTCTTTATGAGAAAAGGAGCAGACTGTCTCAGCAAGTGGGTTGGTGAATCTGAACGGCAACTTCGTCTCCTCTTTGATCAGGTTGGAAGATGTTCAGATACTTTTGATAGATTTTTTTTTTCCGTATAATATTTTTCATTTCAATGCGTTTCATGCAGCCAAAATTGTCTTTGGATAAAAGGAAACTTTTATATAAGTTACAGTACAGGGGGCAGGATTTGCTAGAGTTTTAAATTTAGATGAAAAGGTAGAGCAATGGTGATGAAATGATATTGCATTGTATCTAAGTGTTATCAATCAGGATATATTAAAAAACAATATAAGAGGGAGCTTCCTGACCTGCCCAGGACTACTAGTATCATAGTTGTCATGATGGCTGTGGGTAGAAATCACAACAGAATGATTTGAATCATTGACCTGGTGTCTGGCTGGCATATTCAGCGCATATACTATGGTAAAGATTGATTTAAGAATTGTGTTTTTGAGAGTACGCTTCAGACACTTTGGTATGACCAATCCTTTACTCATTCAGCTAGAGAGGATGATGAAGAGGGGAGAGATTCAGGTAAAACAGTGGAATCCAATCTTTTGCAAAAATGCAGGTTTCGGATAGAGGTACACCTCTGCCCCGATATAACGCTGTCCTCGGGAGCCAAAAAATCTTACAGCGTTATAGGTGAAAACGTGTTATATCGAACTTGCTTTGATCCGCCTGAGTGCACAGCCGTGCCCCCCCCCCCCCCCCCCCCCCCCAGCACTGCTTTACCACATTATATCTAAATTTGTGTTATATCGGGTCGCGTTTTATCAAGGTAGAGGTGTACTTAGTTTAAACAAATATAATATTGTAGAAAAATACAATGCTTTCTATAATTAAGAGACTTAGACTTTTAATTTCTTAATGTTTTCCAGGTAAGGCTGTGAGGGGGGGGAAGACTTCAGCAATAAAAGGTGCTAGTGGAAAATCAGGAAGTACCTTTTTTACTTAGTCTGGCTGCAAAGCAAAACAAAAAATTATGCCCTTCATCACCTCAAAGAGCTTTTAAAAATATTTTGCTTTTGTTTTACATTAGAAACATCACATCTGATCTTAAAACTTTCTATTCTTGGAGGATTTGCCATTCTTGTTAAAAATGGGAATATGGTATCACAGAATGATGAAAGCTGCAGCTTTCCCAGGAGGACGTAGGGATGTTATGGTTGTTGATATTGCTTCTCTCAGAAGTTCGGAGCTAGTGGCACTGAAACTCAAGTTTGTCTGATGTGAAGTCACATTCCAATTCCTCCAAAGTTTTCCCTAGTACTTGAGCAAGAAGAGAGAAATGTGGGCTTTGAGTGGGGATTTTCAGAAGTGATCAGCACTGTCATAACTCTGCTCCAATATTAGGCCCAACGCTGAGGGCTTTTGAAAATTCCATCCTGTATTTCTAATATACAACACAAGCAAAAAAACAAATTATGGAGGCTGTCTTCATGACTCATAGAAGAGCATTAAAGGCATAAACAATGCTTTTTTTCTTGCTTTGAATTTTCTCTTTATGTTCTGTTGTGTTGTGGGTTTTTTTAAAAATGTAATGCTTAACTGTCAGTTAACTATGTTGGAAATACTCTTGCTCAAGTGAAGACTATAAATATATATTTTGGAAATCTTCCACTATTTGAAGAAAAAAAAGTCAGAAAGTACCCCTTTTTTACTTAAAGGCTGGCTGTAAAGCAAAACAAGAATTATTTTCTTTACTTATTTTCTTAGGGAAAAAGGCCACATTTCTGGACATACAATGCCCATTTCTGAACTTGTTTTTATATCTTTAGATTTGTAAAGATCTACAAACCCAGTAGCAGCTAACTAAAACATGACAAGAAACTGATTGTGTTTATTACACTTATAAAGTAATAGAAGAATAATCTAGAGTGTCGAGTATAGGTTAAATAAATATTATGATTGCAAGAGTAATTGAGATACTGGAAATGAGGCTCAGAACCTAGCATAAGAAAATGGTTTACAGCATTAACAGAAACAGCTTTGTATGAGAGGAAGAAATGTATATCACAAGTTAAATGAATGTATCTGGGGGTCATATTCTTGTTTTACAAGAATGTATTTTAATCCCACCATATCATTTTTTTTCTCCTGTGCTTCTTAGTCCCTTGATTTCATTTTACCTCAGTATTATACTTTTTTCTTTGTTATGGTTATTTACTGCAATTTTATATTCTAAAAAACAAAACTAAAAATTCAAAAATAAACATTTAAAACAATTACAAAAAATGTGATCTCCTGCATTGCTCCAGGCATTGAGAATTCAGTCATCTAAAGACAGGATTCTCACATTATGAATCAGTGCCACCCTGTTTGGGATTGTTCAAGAGTGCAGGAAAACTATGGCACTGGTGCCATCTTCCTTAGGTAAAGGAAAATACAGTCTAACTTTTTTCCTTTGTTTTAATATTATAACTTAGTTGTTAAACTTCAGATTTATTCTCAGAGCTGGGTTTAAAAAAGCATCATAGAATATCAGGGTTGGAAGGGACCTCAGGAGGTCATCTAGTCCAACCCCCTGCTCAAAGCGGGACCAGTCCCCACACAGATTTTTGCCCCAGATCTCTAATGGCCCCCTCAAGGTTTGAACTCACAACCCTGGGTTTAGCAAGCCAATGCTCAAGCTACTGAGCTATCCCCTCCCCAAATGCAAGCTTTTAACATACAGCCCGTGGAAGTGTTACCAGCACATAGTGAAGAGAATTTGTTTTTACTCCATTGCAGAAGAAATTTGAATTAACAGCTAATATCCATTCCTGTATCTACCCACCAGGCATACTTGATGAGACCTGCTATAATCTTCTTTGATGAAATAGATGGTTTGGCCCCAGTTCGTTCTAGTAGACAAGACCAGATTCACAGGTAATGTTTTTAATATACTACTGCAGGTTATGTTTTTATTTTGGTAAATTTAAAGTATCTTTTTTTAAAGCTTCATTTGGATTATTTCTTGGGTTAGATCCTTGCCCCTCCTCTGGCACTTTTACACCAGGTGAAAGATCCAACGTGGTGTAAAGGGTCACTAAAAGCCCTGTTTATGACTAAGTGATGATTACCCTTGCCCATGCAAAACCTTTTCAAGACCACCTTGCAAACTCTGTCTGCAGTGATACTGGACAATGCTATGAGCCCATAGGGCAGCCCAGGGAGGATGGCATAACTTAATTTAGACAACCCTTGATGGCCTATTATGTAGGAGACCCTGATGATATTTACAAAAAATTGTTTTTGAAAACTTTCTTCTAGCTCTATAGTGTCTACCCTACTTGCCCTCATGGATGGACTGGATAATAGAGGAGAAATTGTCGTAATTGGTGCTACAAACAGACTTGAATCTATAGACCCTGCACTCAGGAGACCTGGTCGTTTTGACAGGGAATTTCTTTTCAACTTGCCTGATCAAAAGGTAAAAGTTACAAAGGGATAATGTAAAAATTTCTAGAGTGAAGTAAGTGGGTGTCTCTGAAGATCCACATATTTGATACAGATCTCTATCAAATGGCATTTGGTATGTTTTCAAAAATGACAACAATTTGTCCATTGCTAGTCCTTTTTGTTAGTGTGTTTTTATTTATTTATTTGGAAACTAGAATTCTTTAGACATCTCAAAGGCACTTACCCTCTTTGCAAAACTCAGTTCATAGTACATTTAAAGTTTTAAAAATGTTTTAAAAGTCATTTAAGAAAAAAAAGGCATTTTAATGGCTCTGAGATAGGACATATGTTCTCACAACTCAAACAGCTCAACTAAATTTATTGAAATTTCTCCAAAACAATCTATAACAGCAGACTGAGTAGACCCTCTTTCCTGTTGTCTCAGGTTTGCAGAAGACTCTCTCCAGGCAAACCATAGCAACAAAGTACAAATCTTCCTCTACCTCAGACTCCTCACTGGAAGTGTTAACTTTCATCTGAGACTAAACATGAGAAATTTCATCACAAAATAAAACATTTTGAGAGTTTAACAAGTTGATAATACATAGCAATTTGCACAGTGTTATATCTCTTCAAAGTACTGTGCAAACATTAACACTGGACTAACTTGATGATTCTATTATAGTTATGGTTTCATCCATTTTGACAGACGTAGCATGGAACTGGACACAAAGCTCAGAATTCAGAATTATCTGCAAGAGCAAATAATTGCGTTGCAGTTTGCTAGTAGTGAGGGATTTTTAAAACGGTCTCTGTCGCTCCTCTTTGAGGCTCTTATACACAAGCGTTTAATATTTTACTAAACCATTCTAAGACACAGTTTCCAAATAGAATCAAATTGGAAAAATAGAAATGCCCACTAGCTAAACAAAGAGGATTCCTCAGTTCAAAAACTGCTAGCCACCCTCCTCCTTCTTTTTAGGTCCCTTGAAGTCTGTTTGCCAGCTCATACTCTGTTGCAGTGCCCTAATCCAGTGGCTCTCAATCTTTCCAGACTACTGTACCCCTTTCAGGAATCTGATTTGTCTTGCGTACCCACAAGTGTCACCTCACCTCACTTAACTAAAAATCAGACATAAAAATACAAAAGTGTCACAGCACACCTACTGAAAAATTGTTTATTTTCTCATTTTACTATATAATTATAAAATAAATCAACTGGAATATAAATATTGTACTTACATTTTAGTGTATAATATGTAGAGCCATGTAAACAAGTCATTATATGAAATTTTAGTTTGTACTGACTTTGCTAGTGCTTTTTATGTAACCTGTTGTCTAGTTTTACAACTATCTAGATGAGTTGTACCCCTGGAAGACCTCTGAGTACCCCCAGAGGTACACGTACCCCTGGTTGAGAACCACTGCCCTAGTCAGTATGCTCCGTGCTGTGACATCATAGCTACTGTAATCTCACTGAAGTGTGGATCTGGCCCAGAGAAGGGACAAGGTAAAGCCCCATGCCTCACTTTTCCAAAACCATGCAATGTACTTTTAGAAGTGAAAAATTAGAGACCTTATCTGAGCTTTCTCTGGGCTGGCTTCATTCTCCACTGAAGCTCTTTGGTAGTTCTGCTCTGAGGGGCATTCTAGTGGAGCTGGCGACTCATGACTTTCGGGGACTTGAGTAAAAAAGGTAAGCTTGGTGAATTAAGTTTTGAAAGCCCCTCTTCACCTAGTTAGTGGGGGCATCCATCACATGTTGAAGTACATAAAACTGTTTTGTTATTTGCAAATTACTTTAAAGTCATTTCAGTAACCCTAGCTGCAAATCTCCAGGCCTACAGATATGTTTGAAATTCTGCATGTCTGGAATGTAATAATACTGAACAGTAAAATAAATAAATATTGTGTTTGTGTGTCAGCATTTATCTCTCTTAAAAAAGGAAATGTATAAAAAAATCGACATTTATGCATCATTATAACAGTAAATTTAAGCACACACACCGGCAAATTCAGAAAGGTTCCCACTGCAGTTGTAACTTGATCACATTACACTGTAAGCTGTCTGGCGAAATGACTTCATCTTTGTATGGATTTGTACAATGCCTAGCCCAATCCTGATTGAGGCTGCTGAGTGCTATGATAATATAAATAGATAACTATATATATGTGAAGAAATACACTTAGCTGTCTGCATCATAATGAAAATTGCACATGTACAAAACAGGAGTTGTAATTGCAGTGTGAACATATTTTTACGTTTCTTAGTTTGAGTATTTTATATTCACAGCCACACGTTGCATAAATATATTTTTGATATTGGATTTAATGTGTAGGCTGTTTCAATCTAATCGACTAAAACTTGATTTTTTTAGTGTAATACTCATGGAATTTTTCTATAATAATAAACTATCTTTGTAAAAGATTAAATACTGAGGCGTTTTATAATGGCAGAAACTCTTGATTGGAAGTATAGTGGTTGCCACTAAGAGAATCAGCACAGGTATTTCCTATGCCACAAAACTCCCTTTCCTCCTGAGAATTTGTGTTGTACTCTTCTACATGTTCCTGTGACATTGTGTTGACACAATTAGGATAATTATTAACTCCTCTTGAATATGTGACCTAAGTGCTTGAAATATGTTGATTTACTGTTGGCTGCTGATTTTGCTTGCTAATGCTGAAATACTTCTTTATCAGGCAAGAAAGCACATTTTACAAATTCATACCAGGGACTGGAACCCCAAACTGTCAGATCCTTTCTTGGGGGAGCTAGCTGAAAAATGTGTTGGTGAGTGGTACCATATTAGTGTTATCACTTGTAGATGCCTTTTCTTTCCATAAAACCTTTTCTTAGAGCTTGTAAAGTATGTTGAACATTTGCTTCTGAAGTTCTGAACATGCATCAGATGCTTTGTTTTTTTATTTATTTTTCAATTTTATTTTTATTGAAACTTTTATACTTTCTACAACCCTTATTTGTAATCAGAAAAATCAGGCATGATTGTATCAGAGGGATTAATGTACAGAATAAATACCCAATAATAGTTTGAAAGTAATAATTCAGTAGATAATGTTTTCCTGACATAACCTCCAATGTCCTTTTGTAGGACTAGTGCCAACAAAAATAAAAGCACGTGGAAAGCAGAATCTTTAGGTAAAGATTCCTTTAAAAACTTTACAGGTGAGATTGGTTGGCACAGTTTTCCTGCCTTATATGTGGACAAAAATAAATTTCAGTCGTTTTTATTGAATCTCTGCCATGCTCTCTTCAGACAAAGACTCACAAACTAACCACTGGTCCTAAAGCTAAGATATATCCCCCAGAGTCTACTACTGCATAATATACCCATGTGGCAGGCATAGGGCAAAAAACTTTGTCCTCTAGACTCAGGCACCATGAATATCTTAAATATACCGTTGGAGCGCTCAGACCTGCTGTACTGAATGGGAGGATGGTTGTTCAAGCCAGCTGCTTAAAAGCAGGACAGAAATAAAAACAAATGTTCATGTAGTGAGATTTTTAACGGGGAAATAACCCTAAAATACACACCACAACCTCCTCACAACAATTTGTCATATAAAGATACATCCTCTGTCAACCATCTGCTTGGGCAAGCATTGAAGTTCTCAGAACAAGGATAATCTCAGATAACTGTTCAATGGGATCCATCATCAAAGAAATAAGAACTTTAAATTGAGCATCAGTCCATTCAGTCAGCTACTGTACATCCGAATTATCCTCTTCATCCACAGGGACAACCATCTTCGAAGCAGCATGCCTCCGCTTTTGATCCACAAAGACCTCAACATCTTCTGGTGAGGAGAAAATATAACTATCCAGCAAACTCCAATTTAAGCTTTGCCGGGTATAAGACAGCATGTGCCAAACCCATTTAATGTAAATTCTGCTTGACTTTTTCAAAGGCCTGGTGCCACTTAATGGGAGAGGGGGGATATCTGGGATAAAATCCAGTTTTGTTCCTTTGAAAGTTCACCATATTTCTGTCCACCTTGAGAATCCAATTACATATTTTAAGATGTTCAGACTACAAGGACAGCCTTTTGTAGGTTTTACTGCAAGACCTTCCTTGTGCTGAAGTAAAAGCAGTTGGTTCTGGGGGAAAATTTGTTAATTTTCCAGAATAAGAAATATCCCCAGAATCTGGTGTGTCTGGTTCTTGCACCATTCTAATATTGTGCACTTGAATTTCTCCTTTCTGTATCTTGGAGCTTTAATGTCTTCCAGCATTTCCAAGATCAGAACCTTGTATCTACTATAAAAAGTCTCTACATCAGTCACAATAAGGCTAGTTTGTCTCACTTGCTCTGAGATTGCCTCATCGTTTTTGTTCATGATGTCACGAACATCTAACCTTTTATTCAGGCTTTCTAGATTCTTTGGAGCCATGCAAACCTGCGTTTTGGTCCTCTTTTCACACTGATGCAGTAGCTATTAGTCTGCTCTTGTTCCCCTTGAGTGGACAAAGTTAAAAAAAAAAACAACCCAACCACCACCACCACCCAGTCTAGACTCAACAGGGTTTTGGTACAGCATGATTTTACCTTTACCTTGTTTAGCGAACTTGGCAACACCTACAAATACCTGAATCTTAATGAAGAAAACTACCAAAATGCTACGAATATAACTGACCTCTACTGAGAAGCAGTCATGAGAGTGGATAGCTTGCTTGTTGATGTATACCTCCCATACAACTTTTAAAAAAAACATGACTGGGCTTATTTAATTGTTAAAAAAATAAGACAAACAGAACCAGGACTTGTAGGGCAATAGCAGGTTGTTTCCTAAGGCTAGATTTTTGTCACAACTGTCATGGATTTCATGAGTTGATGTCTTAAAAATGACATGTGCCATTTGGAGATTTTTATATCTGGGTTTGTTAAATAGTTGAAAAAACTTCTTTGAGTGGCTTGAGAGCTGCAGTATTAAGCCATGGGCTGCCTGTGAGATTAATAGGATGCAGCAACTCAGGGAGAGAACTGAAGTGACATAAAAGACCAGACCTTTGGAGTTTTAGTGGGAATTTTAAATTCCCAAAGTGGCCACAAGATGGGAAGCGGAAAAAGCCATGAGCACAGGAAAAACGTATGGTCTTCATGCAGTTAAGTGTGTGTTAGAGATGGGCGCAAACCAGCCTGAAGTTTGTGACTTGTGCTCATTTCTTGTACATATTTTTGTTTTGAATATTTACCTTCTAGGTAAATAGGTACTCAATTGTCTTGTTAACTCAACCTTTTAGAAAGCAAACCATATTAGCAACAGCAAAGTTGTGATCTCTTCCATCCAGCATCTCTGTTAATCAGGTATATCCTTTCAAAACCTAGGTAGGCCATTAAAATAATATTAAACAAGGATTTTAAAGAAATTCAACACTGAGTCAAGACACTTCTTAGCAATATTCTGTTTCATGTTCATTATCATAATTAAGCAACTTACAAGAAAAAGAGTTAATTTGTTACCAATTGGTTCTTTCTCTCCCATCTTAATACAGTGATGGAGAGAGATGACTGTTTGGGGTTTTTTCACCCCACTGTTGTGAGAAAGCTATGGTGGTATCTTTCACTTCAACCTCATAGTGAGTTCTGTGCTGGCATGCTTCCTGTGCAGTGTGCCACAGAATTTGGACCATAATGCTCTTATGATGATGTTAGGCCAAAATCTTGACCTAATTTGACAAGAAGATCCTACCTTTTTTCTTGTTGTAGAAATAGTTATAACTGGTTTTTGGGGCGGGCATTGGAGAGGAGAGAGTTTGGGGAAAAATCCGTTTCCAAGAGAAAAAACAGGAAAAGATGACTAGCAAGTTTCTGTAAAAGTCTGATGCATATTCTGTAGTAGGCTGTATGGGAGCCTGCTTCCTTACTGTGCTTCTCCCTGAAAGTTATGACCAAAAAAAAAAAAAAGTTCGCTTGTTTGATACAATCTGGTGGTGGTAGGGAGCACAGAATGGATTACTTTAATTTTGTTCTATCACAAGGAAAGCCAGTGATTATGCCCACCCCAAATTCAGAATTATCTCCTAGATTTTTGAAAAGCAGAAGGAAATGCATTAAAATTTAGTTTTATTACTACAGTGACAATTGAGGATAAAATGAGTTCCTTCAAGGTTAGAGTGAAAAGCCATGTTTCATATTCAGCCTTGACAACTTACTTATGTTCTTACATCTTCTGGGCATAGTATGTATTTGCTTAATACTAAAAAACCTGTAATGTTCTGCAAGATATTTTCTTGCAGTTGTCTTGTCAGTCACTCAAATGAATATACAAGTATGCACAAGAGAATCCTTCAGTAAAAGATGAATTATTACTCTTCAAATGCAGTTTCTCCTGAGAAATAGGGCAATAGAACTGGAGACTAATTGTATATCTGATCACCTGAGAATGTAATTTTCAAAATAGGCCATAGGCTATTATTTCCTAATTTTGCAATTCCATGGAGATGTACAAGCTGTGATTAAAAAGACTGTTTGTAAGGAGTATTATAGCATTATTAATAGAAGAATTGGAAAGGACATAGCTTTAGATTTGCTGAGTCTTAATTTGTGTCAGAGATGCTTAAACAGGATTTTTACGATAAAAGGGAGATTAGAGGAGCAATATAACCCTAATGCATGTTTGACCTTAACAACATTGATTTAGTTTTCCCCAAACTCATTTGTTCAATCTATTGTGCTGTTCTATCAGCAAATGGACCATTGTGAACTGGTAAAATAATACACAAAGTTAAAAAGGCAAAGCAGCCTTTAGTGTACAACACAAATTCTAACTTATCCAGTACAATTGAATGCCCTGACCCTGAAAATAGATTGCCACGTGTTGGGGTCTGTCCACATGGATTTAATTGTGAAATTGGGGCCTTAGTACCTGAACAATGAATTCTAATCAGAAGCCACTTATAATTAGTTAACTGAAAGAAAATAAATGACCGATTTATCCTCTAACAAAATGAGGAACAATAAGATTGCTTGTATCTAATCTGTTTGATTTCACTTGAGCTATGGCTTATTAATAAGAAATTCAAGATAGTTTTTAATTTAACCTGTACTCAACTATTGTGATTATTTACACAGTTATAACTTTTTACCATTTTACTAGCCATTTTTCCAAAATGGAAAAAGTTTATTCAAAAAAGTTGTGTATGGAATCCAATATTTATGATAATGTTCTGACTATAATCACATACTTTGACTCACATTCAAATGTTTATGGAAAAGCCCTATAGAATTTAATGGGACACCATCAGCTTAAAACCACAGTTTCATCTTTAAAATGTTTACCTACTTTATTACTAGTAACCCTTAAAATTAATATGACTAAAAAATTAGAAAATCGGGAGAGATTCTTAGTCATCCCCCCAGTTTGTTTACTTAGTGCATCTGTCAACACTTTGTATTATCATGTTTATTTTTTTGTTGGTGGTGCAGGCCTTGTAAACGGGTGTTTACCAGAGGTAGTAGTAAGACCTGTAACAAAGTGAGTGGGCTCGTGTGTGCACAGTAAGAGAGGAACAAGGCAGGAAGGCAGGCATAAACAATTTCAGTGGTGAGGATTTTGTGCCTGCCAGAAGACCCTCCTAAACATAGAGAGGAGCAGGAAAACCATGATTTGTTTTTCTAAAAAGAGGTCTAAAAAAAGTTTGATATGCAATTTTAAAGGATGCTTGGCCAATTTTTTAAAAATTGTGAATAGATTCTATAAAAATCTATAAAAATGAGTAGAATTTAATAAATTATATCCCTGCTAATTGTATCGTTCTGTATGCTGGGTTAAATACGTTATAAAAATTTTTCTATAAGAGAATAATCTTGTAATGGGTTTAAAAATTGGTGTTCTGTACTTCAGCAGAGGTAAAACAAAATGCACCAAAATATATACATCTGTTATTATGAAGGATAGAAGCATACCAGTATTAGAAATCCAATAGTTTTAGTCCTGAAAGCAGCAAAACTATCAATTAGTACCACAAAAGACTATTTAAAAGTTTTAGGCCTATATAATACAGTTGTATGTAAGGCTCTAAATCAGGGGTAGGCAACCTTTCACAAGTGGTGTGCCGAGACTTCATTTATTCACTTTAATTTAAGGTTTTGCGTGCCGGTAATACATGTTAATGTTTTTTAGAAGGTGTCTCTCTCTAAGTCTATATTATATAACTAAACTATTGTTGTATGTAAAGTAAACAAGGTTTTCAAAATGTTTAAGAAGCTTCATTTAAAATTAAATAAAAATGCTGATCTTACGCCACCAGCCTGCTTAGCCCGCTTCCAGCCTGTGGTTCTGTTCACCTAGGCCTGCAGTGGGCTGAGAAGGGCCTGTGGCCAGGACGCCGGCTGGCAAGGGGCCGGCATCTGGGACCCCAGACCTGGGGACGGGGGAGGGGTCAGGGGTCAGGGCAGAGGCTGCAGGGCAGAAGGCTGGGTGTGTGTGGGGGGATTCGAGGGGTCAGGGCAGGAGGGCTGGGGTGTGTGTGGAGGTGCAGGGCAGAAGGCTGGGTGTGTGTGGGGGGATTCAGGGGTCAGGGCAGAGGGCTGGGGTGTGTGTGGAGGTGCAGGGCAGAAGGCTGGGTGTTGGGGGCGACTCGAGGTCAGGGCAGAGGGCTACGGGGTGTGTGGGGTGCAGGGCAGAAGGCTGGGGGTGTGTGTGGGGGGGTTCAGGGCAGAGGGATGGGGCTGTGGGGGTGTAGGGCAGAGGGATGGGTGTGTGTTGGGGTGGGGGGGTGCAGGGCAGAAGGCTGTGGTGCTCAGCTCATGGGGGTGCTCCCAGCACCCTGCCCTGAGCGGCTCATGGCAGGGGGCTGGGAGAGATATGCCCTGTTCCACCCCCTTCCCCAAGGCCCATCCCTACCTCTCTGCATCCTCTACGGAGCAGCGAGCACGCTGCCGCTTGGCTCTGCTCCGCTCCCCCTTCCCCTCCCCCTCTCAAGGGCCATTGCGATTTTCTGCTATCTTTCTCCATACAACTAGAGTTATAAAATTAAAAAGAGAGAGAGAGTGTTGTGCTTGACAGTAAAACCTTAGTTTCTTCTAGCAGCTATGAAGAACGAATTAGGTGAGGGAATTTTCCTGTCTACTTATATGCTCTGATTAAGTATTTTTCCTTAATATCCTCCATTTTCTCAGATGCTTTGTGGATATATGCACTTTGTTCCTAAAATTCATTTGGACCATTTGCTGCTTTAAAAAAATAATCACAAAATAAGTTTTTCATTTTGTACATAGGCTTCCCTATAACTTTTTACAATTCTATTTCACGCAATTACAGTTGCAACTGATGCAGCCGTGTATAAAACAAAGACTATAAAAAAGAAAAGGAATAGAGATGACACAAAGCTGGGGGGAAGCTACAGTAAATTCTGTAATAAAATCTTGGAAAATATTGATATTGACATGATATTAATTTCTTGCCATATCACATTGCTGTATAGGAATATCAGTGGATGCTATTTTGTATTTGCATTTGCCTTTCTTCCATAGGCTATCCACAAGTATCTTTTTTTCTGGTGGTCTTTGACAGTAGTCCAGATAATGGTATCATTGGTTTTAATAAGGGTTTAACATTTGCTTCTTAAGCTGTAATCAGTCCCTGGGTTAATTTGCACTTGATGCAATGTGAAAGAGTCTGTGACCATGAAGTGCAACTGGCTGCTCTTTTAGCTTCAGGCTTGGTTGTACATATGCAAAATGTTGGTGCTTCTTTATGGAACATATGTATGTTTGTTTTTTTTGTACACTAGGGTACTGTGGAGCTGACATAAAAGCACTTTGCACTGAGGCTGCCTTGATTGCCTTGCGACGGCGCTATCCGCAGATTTACGCGAGCAGTCAGAAACTGCAGCTTGATGTTTCTTCAATAGTTCTCAGCGCACAAGATTTTTACCATGCAATGCAGAATATTGTGCCTGCTTCCCAACGTGCCGTGATGTCTTCAGGACATGCACTATCCCTTGTCATAAGGCCGCTGCTGGAAAGAACCTTCACTAACCTCCTGGTGGTTTTACACAAAGTATTTCCCCATGCTGAATTTAGTCAAGGTGACAAAAGAGAAGGTACTTAGTTTTTTTTTATTTTATTTTTTTTGCTCTTAACTATTCTGATGTAGGTTGGAAAAATTTCAGGTAGCTTTTCTTTTAGCATCCTTGTCCTACTCCTAGCCTGAAATGTACTGAATCAAGTTTGCCCCAGCTTATGCCAGAACTGACTTTGATTTGCTTATTTACTTGGACATATAATTAATTGTAATAATAATTGTAATTTATTAATGTATTGCTGTACTGTCTAGAAGTCCCAGTCAAGAACCAGAATCTCGTTGTGCTAGGTGTTGTAAAAATGCAGAACAAAAAGATGACTCCTGCCTCAAAGACCTTACAATCGAAGTTAAGACGAGACAATAGATGGAGACAGACAATGAAATGCTGTTGGTCAGCATGATGGGGAGTGGTATGGACACAGCAGTGGCTCGTTGTCCAGTTTTTTTGTGGGCATCACAGCAAAAGAGAGCTGTAAAGAGGGATTTGAAGGAGGTAGCTTAGCCGATGTTTATGAGGAGCTTCTCTCAAGCATGAGGGACAGCCTCGGAGAAGGCATGGTAATGCTTGTTTGAAAATTTAGCAAGTGGTTGATGGAGACTGGCATCATGGGCTGATTGGAGGTGGGAGTTGACATTTTGTTAGCAAATGGGAGATCATGATTTATCCCCCAATCTATCCATTAAGGGCCTGGAAAGTGAAGACAAATAACTTGATTTTCTTCCAGTGCTTGCTTATGTCCATTGCAATGTAGATGTGTGCTCGCCCTATGCACCACCACTGGAAATTTTTTCCTTCAGTGGTATCTATCGGATCGGCGCTGGTGCCCCTTGGAGTTGCACGCTTATAGTACCGGTATAAAGGCTCCTGCCGATCCACAGCCCCCTTGGTTCCTTTTTACTGCCCGTGATGGTTGCTGCAACTGCCTCGTCCTTGTGTTCACAAGTACTCCTTATGTGGACTTTCTAACCTCGTTGTATATAGTTATCTTTTATTCTTAGTAGTTAAGTTTCAGTTGTTAAATAGGTTAGCGAACACCACTCAGCAGGGTTAATCCCTGACCAGTAGAGGGGCATGCCTTAGTCTCCATGGTTTAAGCCTTGTGCTTCTTGCCACAAGCCTATGCCTGCAAGTGACCCCAATTCCAGCTAGCTTCAGTGCCTGGGGAAAGCTCACGTGTAGGAGTGCTGCAAGATCGGCAAAGACTTCAGGCCCTGCAACAAAAAGGATAGAGACACTAGATTCAGATTTATCCTCATGGAGGCAGCATTTCAACCTCCCTTGGAGCCGGGTCACTCAGACTTGGCACTGAGTACTTCAGCTTCAGTAAGGAGTGCCCCAGCTCTTTGGGAAACTCAGCACCGTTCCTCTCTGGCACTGAGAAAAGATGCTCCTTCTTCTTGAGAGCCTCAGCATCCCCGGTTGGTCATCCTCAGTGCCGAAGAAAAGTGCGCCAGTGAGGGACTTTGGCACTGCTCTCCATCACCGGTGTCAAGAAGGAAGCAGAAAAAGACCAATAGAGGTCGATTCCCCAAACCCTGAGCACAGACACACTAGTAGAGTGCGAACCGCATCAGGCCACTCGGTGTCTCTAACAACTCGTGTGGCGCTATTGTCTCCGGCACCTATGGACTCTCCACCACAGGAGAGCCACCAGAGCTCCACTGCCTGGGTGGTTTCGTCAATGCCAGAGGCATTTCAGGCAACGAGAGATTTACTCTCTCTACCGGTACCACCATTCCCAGCCCTACAGGAGCTGTCAGTGGCAGCACCGGTGGGAGGAACCTCCGTGGCTCCGAGGCCTCAGGTGCCTTCAAAAGGGAAACTGGCCACGATGGCCCATCCCCAATCTCCTCCCTCCTGGCACTGCTTGCTGGCACTGGTCGGCACTGCTGCACCCTGGTCTCCAGGAAAGGAATCTTCAGAGACTGACAGGGAGGCGGAGTCGTACACCTCTCTCAGGAGCCGGCACCATAAATCCAGCTGGCACTACCCGGCTTGGCCTCCAGGACAGTGACAGATACCAGTATAGTGGCCTTTCTAGAACCCCTGGGTTTTTCTTCCGATGCAAGGGTCCCATTCCAGAAGATCATACTCTGTGGTGTAAGAGTCCAAAACACCTCCACCGCTCCTCTTGGAGTGAGATCCAGGCTCTGGTACCAAGATCTATGCCAAATATCAACACCCGACACCACGAAACCTGTCTAGTGCCAAGGGTGAAGAACAGTGTCCTCTGCCTGTACAAGTGAGGCTGTCGCGGGAGCAGACGATTACAAGGTGCATCAAGAGCTCCTCAAGAAAGTGGCTCAAAACCTGGGTATCCAGGTAGAGGAGATCAGGGAGTCCTCCCATGCCCTGGTGGACATTCTAGCGGTAACAGGCCCTTCAAGAGTGGCATTGTCACTAAACGATGCTATTACAGACCCCATAGTGGCATTATGGCATACCCCGGCGTCCCTCCAACCAATGGCAAAGAAAATGGAAAAAAAATAATTTGTCTCAGCTAAAGGGTGCGAATTCCTTTATACACATCTACCACAACCTTTGGCTGTGTCAGCAGCCAATGAGTGGGGAACAACAGAGTCAGCAAGTGCCAAGGCCAAGGATGCCAAAAAATTAGACCTCTTCATTAAAAAGGTCTATTCAACAGATGGCCTTCAGCTCAGGATTGCAAATCAGCAAGTGCTCCTGAGCAGGTATAATTTTAACTCCTGGGACTCTGTGTTGAAATTTAAGGAGCTACTACCATAGGAGTCCAGGCAAGAATTTGCAGCTCTCATGGAGGAAGGCAAATCTGTGGCAAGGGTGTCCCTGCAAGCAGCCTTGGATGCTGCGGACTCTGCAGCTCGATCCATGGCCCCAGTGGTGGCAATGCGAAGCTCTGGGCTTCAGTCCTCGGACCTACAGCATGAGGTTCAACAGTCATCACAGGACCTTAATTTCGAGGGTACGTCACTCTTTTCTGAGCAGACAGACTCCAAGCTGCACAGCCTAAAGGACTCAAGGGCCATCCTGAAGCCTTTAGGGCTTTATACATGGCATCCTTGAGGAAACATGATGATATGCCTCAGCTGGCTCCTCTTTTCTTCCCACCACCCACCTGGCAAGACTACAATAGGAGCAGAGGCTTTAGGAGAAAACCTCTGCACCAATCCTGGTCCACACCTGCCTTCTCCCCCTCCCCCTGACACTCTGCAGGGTCTAAGCAGGCCTTTCGATGGGACACTCAAGGGCGATGTACAAGGACAGAACTGGGATCCAACTTCCCTAGTTTTTGTGGACCATTTATCCCATTTCTATCAGGCATGGGCCCGTATTACCTCAGATTTCTGGGTGCTATGCATGATAGCACTGGGATATAACCTTCAGTTTAGTTGTCCGCATCCCCATCTCTCTTTAGGAATCCTTCTATTCCCGCTATTTCCTAATTTTGAAAGCCAACAGCGATTTCAGGCCGATTCCAGACCTGTGAAAGGTCAACAGATTCATGAAGAAGCTAAAGTTCTTCATGGTTTCCTTGGTTTCCATCCTCTTTTCCCTGGAACCAGGGGACTGGTACACTGCCCATGATTTGAAGGATGCTTACTTCCATATCTCAATCTTTCAGGGATACAGAAAGTTCCTCAGGTTCACCTTCTTGAGGAGAGAGGGTTCAGGTGTACCCTTACTTCAGTGACTGGCTGGTCAAAGGTCAGACCAAGGTCCAGGTGGAGTCCAACATAAAGTTAATACAGTCAACTTTCCAGGATTTAGGTCTGCTAATAAATGTGAGAGAAGTCTACTCTTTCCTGGGTTCAAAGGCTAGAGTTCATTAGGGCGATCTGTGACTCAGTTCAAGCAAGAGCCTTCATCCCAGAAGCACAGTTCCAAGCAGTAGGGATGCTTATAGAGAGCCTCAGAAATCATTCCATTACCACAGCAAGAAACTGCTTGAAGCTCTTGGGCCTCATGACATTATGCACCTATGTGATGCAGCATGCAAGACTTAGGTTCAGACCTCTCCAGATGTGGATGGCATCTGTAAACTAACCAAGCCGACACCACTTAGACGCAGTCATCACAGTTCCCTCATCAGTGATTGCCTCCCTCCATTGGTGGCTGGATCTGCTGGCAGTGTGTGTAGGAGTTCCATTCTCAAGACCCCAACCATCAGCGTCTCCTGTCACAGTCACTTCGCCGATGGGCTGGGGGGGCTGACTTGGAGTCCCTCAGAACTCAGAGCCTCTGGTCTCTGGAAGAGCTCGTTACATATCAATGCCAGGGAGCTCAGGGCGATTTGCTGGGCCTGCCAGGCATTCCAACCCCATTTGGAGGGCAGGTGTGTATCAGTTCTCACAGACTACACAACAGTGATGTTTTATATCAATGGGCAGGGAAGAGTGAGGTCCTTTCACCTGTGCCAGGAAACACTTAGCTTGTGGGAATTCTGCATAGCCCACTCGATCCACCTCAAGGCCTCCTATCTGCTGGAATCACAAGAACGAGCTAGCGGATCACATCAACAGATTGTTCTCCAGCCACAAGTGGTCCACCCATCCATATATTGTGAAAGCCATTTTCCAGAAGTGGGGTAATCGCCAGATAGATCTGTTCATGATGAAGCACAACAGGAAGTGTCTTCAGTTCTGCTCCTTCCTGGGTCAGAGCCCTGGGTCTCTCGTAGATGACTTCCTCCTTCCTTGGATGGGTCATCTCTTCTATGCCTTTCCTCTCCTACACAAGGTCTTGCTGAGGACCAAGCACGAGTCATCCTGATAGCCCCGGCTTGGCCCTGCCAGCACTATTTACCACATTCCTAGACCCTTGGTGTAAACACCAATCCGTCTACCTCCATTTCCAGACCGGATCTCCCAAGACCACGGCTGTCTGTGTCATCTGAACCTCGAGTCCCTCACAGCCTGGAAGCTCCATGGCTGAACCCCTCAGAGCTAACATGCTCTGCAGTTCATGAGGTGCTTTTAGGGTGCAGAAGACCTCCACTGGAGCCACTTACCTGGAAAAGTGGAAAAGGTTCTCGATTT